AGCTAAAACCATTAGCATGCATTTAGCTCCATATTAGAGCTAAAACCATTAGCATGCATTTAGCTCCATATCAGAGCTAAAACCATTAGCATGTGCTAAGTGGAATCAGAACAAATTGGAAGGTAATGAATGGCTGTCTTTAAGTCCTTCAAACACCTTATTGTAATAATTTGAGCTAGTAGTTTGATCTGGATGCTAACCATAAGCAGCTCTTTGTTCAGTTTAGCAGCAGCACAAACTGCAGCTTCTCCAGTCGACTCCCTCCTCTTCCTCTGTTTGGTCCTCCTCTTCTTCATTTCCCCTCAAATGAAGAGACGGTAACCGTTCTGGCTGGACGGTAGCACAGTGGGGCCTAGCATACACCATCTACCCAGAATGCATTGCAGCATAAACAACATGGCGACGTCCGTGTGACAATGTTTGGTAAAAACTAAACAGCCGACGGCATTTTTTACATCTGACATAAATATTTCTCATATAAAGTGAATATTGTATTTAATCCAGAACATTTTATCAGCAGTTTTAAAGTTTTCTTTCTGTTCTGATATGAACTTTATAAAGGAATCTCTTCAGTCTCTCCTGATTTCCTGATCGTCTGAACTTGCGTCGCTCTGACTGCAGGGAAAATACTGAGTAGTTACATTTACTTCTACTCTTACTTGAGTAAAATTTTTGGATTCTTAACCCACTGAATGAAAAACAAACATGTTTCAACCAAAAATGTTACTTTTACTACAGGACAAGTTTTTGGGTAGATGCTCCTAAATGAAAGAAAAAAAAGTGTTTAGTTTTAGTTTTGTTATGTTTCAGGTTCCTCTGACAGTGACGTCCTGGTGAAGCAGAAGATGAGCTGGTTTGATGCTCAGGCTTACTGCAGGGAAACACACACAGACCTGACCACCATCAGAGATTTCACCAAGAACTACAGGATGACCTCCCTCCTGCCTGACTCCACTTTCAACTTCCAGACCTTTAGCATGACCCCCTCAGCGGTGGCCTGGATCGGTCTGCACCGGTCCGACTGGGTGTGGTCCGACGGCAGCAGCGCCTCCTTCTGGCCCTGGGCCGCCCAGGCCACTACAGAGCAGACCGACTGTGTGATGATGGACTCCTCCAGCGGCAGCTGGTTCCAGCAGTCCTGCAGCGACAGCTTCAGCTTCCTTTGCAGCGAAGGTGAGTTTCCCAGCAGCTCTGCAGGATCCCAGCCTGCAGGGCTGATCGGGTGTTTCTGCGTTTCTCTGCAGACGTCGTTCCGGCGGCGACCAGGGCGCTGAAGATTCGTCTGGAGGCCGGATCTGCAGACCTGAATGACGCCGCGGTGCAGGAATCCATCCTGCAGCAGGTCAGGCCACCAGGGGTTCACAAACAGTTCCAAAAGTATCCAAAGAAATTTAAACTTTTAGAATGTTTTCATTCACTATTCAATAATTACTACGTCCATTTAGCATAAATGCTGCCTCAGATCTGACTGTAGAAGGCCATGAGTTAAAAAAAACAAATTACTGCCAGATAAAACATTTTCATCACAACCCATGTTTTGATAAGAAAATAAGTAATATTTTATAATAGGCCTGTTGCAATAAGCAAAAGACCAGCTGATTTCATGATAAGTTTAAACAAACTCAATAATTAACATTTGCATAATTTATTTTTCTCTCTGGCTGATAAAAGTGTTTTTGTCTCAAAAAGCTTCTTTTTGTGAAGGACAGTTTGTTTACAGAGACTCCATAATTCACTTTATTTGTTTCTGTTGTTTTGTTTATATTTTGGATATTTAAAATGTCTTCCAGTTCTAGTGTTAAATATTTCTTAAAATTTAAAGTTTATTGATTTTTGAGAATCTGTTTTAATTTTATTGCTGGAAAATAGTATTAAAACAAGAATATTATCATGTATTATCACAATAACTTCTGGGACAATTTATCATCCAGCAAAATGTGTTGTTGCCACAGGCGTGTTAATCAGATCAAACTCCTCGTTTATTCCCACAGTCCTCTGGTTTTGGCAGCAGTGTCCTTGTCAGAAACATTTCCATTTGTTGCTAATTATGTTAGCTTCAGGAGCAAAGCAGCTGAATGAATTTGATTGGCAGCCAATCAGAAATAACTATATTTAACTTTTTTATTTTTATTTTTAATGACTGAAAAAAGAAAACAAAAATTTCGAGGCAACGTTTAAGATTTAATTATTTTTTGACGTTTTTTCTCCTCTTTCCTCTAACTGTCTGAGGCCCCCGCTGCGCCCCCTGGCGGCTCCTACTTTGAAAAGCACTGAGTTATTAACCTTCCTGTTTCTGAGAAACTCCCAGCAAAATTAATCTGAGTTTAAAACTCCAACTCAGAAAATGTGTAATTTTTTCCTAAAGTTCAGTGATTCTGGCGTTTATTTTCAAACTACAAAAACAGTCGTTTCAACAGACTATTGCTCAGTTTGTCGGTTAAATCTAAACTCTGTTTATTCAGCTGAGGGAGAAGATGGAGGAGCAGGAAGTGACGGAGGAGGTGAAGCTCAGCTGGAGGATTCAACCTGACGGGAAGGTTTTCCACCGGCAGCAGGAGGAAACAGCGCCCCCTGCCTGCAAGGCGAAACCGTGCGACTCAGTTTAACACGACCACTAATTTAGTTGCTTCTTCTCGTCGGTCTGTGGCTAACTCTGCAAGTCACTGGTTTGCTTTTCTTTATTGCTGTTATAGCTAATATTACCAATATTAACATTCATTCACAGGATTAATACTTTGTGATTGTTTGCATCATTTGTTGAAATATGAAAGCAAATCTTTCATTAAAGCAGGTTGAAAAATTCAAACTTTTCACTTTGTTCACTGTTGAAGCATCTTTTATTAAGAAACATTGAGTTACCACATTATCATCCTGTATGAGTGTAAAAACACGACTCAGACACAAATCAGATTAATGATCCTTTAATCTTCAGATTAATGGCAACATACTGAATACAAAAATATTTTTAAAAATCGTCACAGTTTTAGATGAATAAATGAATCGTCTCCTGGATCTGAAAGGTTCGGCTGACGAGATCAGAAACTACAAAAACAGTCGTTTCAACAGACTATTGCTCAGTTTATCGGTTAAATCTAGATTATGAAGAACAATGAATTACATGAAGATTAGTGGCAACAAACCTGAGTATAAAAGTAGCTCATTATGAAGTCAGACAGACGGAGTCCACTTTGGTTGGTTGATTACAATACAGAAATACACAATAAAAAGACACAAACCCCATTCTAGGCAGTGGCTCACTTAAGTGCCAATAAACAGATTAACTAAGAAGCAATAAAAATACAGGATTACATAAAAATATAAGCATGTTAATAAAAAATGCTTCACATTTTAATGTAATTTTTAAAATAGCAGAAAGTTTGTCTAATTTTGTTCTGCTAAAAAATTTATTTATTTTTCAGTTGCTGTACGGAGGGTCAAACATGACTAAAATATTAATAATAGTATGACATGTAATAAAATAAAACTGTTTGGAATAAAATTATACATAATAAAAGATTTCACTGTTTTATAGCTATTTTATGCTAATATATTTTTTGTAATTTATTTCATTTACAGTTTATGATGAATGTTACTTGTTGATATGAATAAAAGTTTTTCAAAAGTTAAGTTACTTTAGCATAAGCAACTAAGGAACAATCCACAATCCATATCGATTAATCTACTGTTGATTATAAAAATTTTAATGAAAGAAGTAATTTGTGGTTTTCTAATTTGTCCCATTTGTTCTTCCATACATTCAGCTGACTGAACATATGGAATGCATTTACATTTTTTCATCAATAATTTGTAAAGCAATCACAATTACTGAATGTGTTAAAATTGAACATTGATGTTTTTATTTAATTTTTGTGGATTTTTAATTATCAGTTATTTTTTCTTTTCAGAATAAAATGTAGTTTATCAGTTTTATTGTTGCTGTTAGGAGTGCTGCACTGAACAAATGTTTGATAAACAGATGTAGATAAAATATTCATGTGTTTCTGGCAAGACTATGGCATTACTTTGATTTCAGTGACTGAATGTTAATGTCATCATTGGTCCTCCGTACATTCACAGTAAAGCTCATGAAAAAACAATTTGTACTTTTGATTTGTTTTTGATTTGATTTTGTTTTTGTTCTTTTCTGATTTAAGTTCGTTCTCCATCTTCTGAAAGTCATGGTTGGTCCTCCGTTCGTCACGCCTCTAAAATGGAAACACAAACAATGACTAAATTTGTTTTTTCTACATCATCACGTGTGCCTGTGGTCCTGCAGCGCCCCCACTGGTCAGGCTCCGGTGTGTCACTGCAGCAGGCAGTTGCACTTGACGCCCTTCTCTTTATGTGTGCTGCTGAACTGCTGCGCCGCCTGGTGGTGGATCAGCGTCCAGAAGTGATCGAAGGAGATGTTCTGGTCCTTCTGGACTCCCATCTGGTCCAGAACCCGGTCCAGGCCGTCCTCGCCCTGCGCCGTCTGCACGCAGGAAGCAGGAAGTCAGGCAGCACATCTGGAAATACTCAGAGCAGGAAGTGACGTGGGACTCAAAAACATCCCAAGAATTCAGATCCAGGCAGCGAGAGGAGGCGGGAGCAGAGTTACAGCGCCCCCTGCAGGCCGCAGGACGAACTGATATCAGAGTTTATCTGCAGATTGACACTGATCTAGAACATTTATGGATATGTTTGAAGTTAAGGAAAAACTCTGAAAATGTATAAATTAATGATAGCAATTATAAATATTAAGTATTTTAGAAGCATTAATCAACATTTGATTCATGTTTTTCATTATTTTCATTATCTTTTCATATATATTTTCATTTTATCATGAAAAAGTGTGATATGAAACTTATCCAGTTTTCATAAGTTTTTGTTTTTAACTTTTCTTTCTGGTTTTATTTTTCTTCCCTCGAAATGACAAAAATAACTAATAATAATTATTACTATTGTTATCTATGTTTAGCTAGTTTTTAAAATGTTTTTATTGTTGTTGTTTTTTGTTTCATTTTTACAAACCGTAAGATACGTCATCGCAATTATGGCATCCTGATTAATAAATTACTAATAAATAATAAATGAAGTATTTAATTTCGAAAACGATTAGTTTTCTTTACAGTTAATAGAATTCAAATTATTATTTTAATAAAAACTATGAATTATTTTTAAAAGAACAAAGACAACTGAGGGGGCCGTAGAGCGAGGCTTGCTCTGATTGGACGATGCTGTGTGACGTCATCGTTACCTTGGCGAGGAGCGGCATCTGTTTGGAGATGAAGGTCTGGAACTGGGTGGTGGTCATGGTGGGGCCGTCATCCGCCGCCCGGTGGAACTCCGTCACCATGGTGTTGATGGCCAGCTCCAGCTCCGAGTACTGAACAGCAACAGATTACGATCAGTAATCAATAAATCACTGATGACGTCAGCATAAAAAGAGCTATTCACAAATAAACAACCGGTTCCCAGATCTCTGGTCACAGTGTCAATACTTGAGCCTGAATTATTGCAAATGTTGATCGATAAATCTTCCTCTCATACTGAGGTCGCTACAAACGGCGATTTGGCGCCACCTAGTGGATGAAGTGTGAACTACTTGCAGAGGAAGTGAGCAATAAACTCAGTAAATAATCCTAATCATTGGATAGATTCTGCAATAAAAATACATATTTTGTCTAATTAGCGTTTGCTACATCTGATATATTAAAGTACACAACATGTGACCAAAATTCTGTAAGTTATTTCCAATTTTATTTGCCAAGTTTTAGCAACACTTGGCAACTAAAGAATGGAAATGAGTAAAACTAACAAAGAAGCAAAGTGTAAAACTGCAGAAGAAGGAAAGTCTGTGCATCTATTTCGATTAATCAAAGGATTACTTCAGATTATACTGTAGAGAGATCCTTAGAGACTCCCGGTTATTCTCGTCCATCCAGCCTTCATCATTGTTGTTTCTTTTTTTTTTTTCATACATCCATACCGCTTCCCGCCACCCCCCCTCCCCCACACCTTGCAATGGCACGGGGCCCCCCTTAGGGGGCGCGCCCCACAGTTTGGGAACCTCTGACTTAAATGATAAAAAAATTAAAAAGAATGGTTGTTCAAAAACCTTTTCACTCAGTTTAATGTCTAGTTTGTGAGTCTATAAAAACATCTTCCTTTTTCTCTATTATTTTTTTGAGCTTCAAAAGAAAAAAAATGTTTAGATTAAATCTGGTTTTCTTTTTCATAAATCATGTTTTCTGCCACCAGCAGGATGTTAAATTCAGAATCTGTGACACATTTCTGATGGACTGACCATGAAACTGTGAATTAAAACAAACTTCAGGATTCCCAAAGGAAACTGGAATCTCTGGAATTCCCTCGTTTCCGTTTCACATCCACCAGGAAAGACGGGAACCTGCGGGTTTTACAGGAACAACCCGCAGGTTTCATCTGTTTTATCTGATCCAGGAAACCTCAGAGACACACACTGCCCTTTTATTTGCTTTTCTTCAAAGTGTGAGGAGTTAATGATCAACCTGACAGGTGAGACTTTATGGGGCCAAACAACAGAACCAGGTTTCCTTTTCTCCAGAACCTCCAGTTGGGTTCTGGCCTCTGTGTGTTTGGGCTGAAACAGCTGAATGAGATCAGCCGCATGTTTCTGAGAAGAGGGCGTCGGTCGGCTGCAGATGATCTCAGAGGATCTGCAGAACATTCCAGGCTGTCTGCACGATCCGCGCTCATATCTGAAACTATTCAGACAATCGCCACTCTGGCTCTCTGCAGCCATTTCCTTACAAACTGCACAGATTCTCTGAACTGTTTTAGGTTTCCAACCTGAAAAGATCCGTTCAGCCAGCAGAACCCAAAGCTGCGGTTCTGCCATGAATCAGAACCCTGAAGTGGCAACAAAATCAGTTTCTTACAGCAGATAAACTGTATAAATACATCCTCATTGGAAATTCACAACTTATGCTCCAGTAACAGAAATTCTTCAACATATTTCTACTCAAGTGAGACTAAAAACGTATTTGGTAAAAAGTTGACTCAAGTATGAACAATTGATCAAGTGAACAATGATCAGACAGACCAGATTGTAAAATTAAGTGGAGATTTTGGTATTTTAAGGACAAATATTACAATAATTTATGTAATAACAAAAAATAACAAAATAAGGAAAAATAAAAATGTTTCCAGATCAGTTTCTATCAGTGAAAAACTGATAAAACTTTAATAGAAACTGCAGGTGTGAGTCTGAGTCTGGAGGATTTCATGTTTGTTTTTCATTCAAGGGCAGAAAATACAGAAATTATACTCAAAAAAGAGTAAAAATACTTCATCATAAAATTACTCAAATAAAAGTAAAAAGTACAGTGTAGTTAAGATACTCCTAAAAATACATTTATCCAAAAGGTTACTCAAGTAAAAGTAATTGAGTAAGTGTAACTAGTTACTACCCAACTCTGCTTAACAGCCATATCTTTATATTTCTTTACAAATTGCGACATTTTTGTGTAATATTTGCTGAGCAATATTTGGCCTAAACTGTAACTAAATAACAAATCAACATTGTTGTTTTTTTTGCTGATAAACCGTTTAAATAAGTTATTTATTCTTTGTTTCTGTGCAAATGTTCATGTTTTTTGTACATTTGTTTAATTCTGCAATATTTTAGCCTAAAACCATCTCAGTGCTGCCCTCTGTAGGTGAAACCGCGGTACTGCAGCTGGATTTTTCAGGATGGTTCCTGATTGGTCGATGTTTACNTCACTCAACCTCCATTTCGGCATAAGTCTCCAAAAATAAAAAATAAAAAATCACACGTTCATGAAATAATCTTTTTGATTTATCGCAGTTCTCTCGTTTGAGAAAACGTGGCTAGATTTGTTGCCTTTTCACTATAGAAGTTTTTTTTTTTTTTTTTGGAAAAACAGAAAATCACAAAATTTTTACCCGTCGCTTTTCTGAAAAAAGTAGTCATTTTTTAACTTTCTTTTTAGATTTGTTGTTAATCTTTTCTTTGGAAAGTAGGCGCTAGATTTGTTGCTTATTGTGCTTATATCATCTATATCTATCTATATATCTACACACACACACACACACACACACACACATATATATATATATATATATATATATATATATATATATATATATATATATATATATATATATAGATATAGATATAGATATATATATATATATAAAGGACATAGCTGATTAGCTGTTATTGAAACCAATCGGTATTCAGCTGTAGTTGCTTTTCTCACATTAAAGTCGCTAAGTTTAAATCAGACCCAAACGGCTGAAATCATTTTTTTTTATTTTATTCTGACGCATCTCCGTCCGGATTCATTTAAAACTTCTCATATGGAACCATAATCCAGGTCAGATTATGTCAAAGATCCGAACTGTCCGCATCCAGATCGGAACCAGAACCCACATTATTCAGGTGGATGAGAAAACATAAATCGGCGCCCCCCCTTCTCTCCCCCCCCGAGGCGACGCTGCGTGAAGTGTAAAACTCGCTACATTTACCTCGTTATGTGGAGGTGAAGGAGCGTAAGGCGCTGAAGTGGATGGGAAAACATAGTCGGCGCGTCGCCCCCTCCAGACGGGGTTTTGGCGCCCCCTCTGGTGCTGCGCCCCTATGCGTTGCATACCCACTTTTTGCGCCTCTGCCCATGAGTACCAACAGTATGCAGTAGCAACATCTACACATTTTTACCTTGATAAACCTTCAAAATTAAATATTTCACTTGGATTAAACTTTGTTTTTCAGGATAAAGTGTTTTTCTTTTCTTTTTTATTGTTTTTGGATCGTTTATATCTGCCGCTCTTGATCGCAGCTCGGTTCTGTTTTTGAATCACTTTCAATTTCTGTTGGACTCATTTGCATAACGAGGTTCCTAATATGAGCCAATATTCATTAATTTACAGGTTGAATTAAAAAATCATGAATCAGAATCAAATAATTACATCTTTTCTCTAAAAGCGCTGCCGCTAAAACACATTTACAGAAAATCTGCTGCAAACGCCACCGAACCAGAACCATCTGGACCAGAAGCGGTCCAGCCGGATCAGCTGCAGGTCATGGGGTCAAAAGGTCAGGAGGTCT